TTAGGAATTTCATGATTTTTAAAAAATGACTGTGACCATGGCTATTTTGCCCCTCTTTCCAGGGTAGGGATATCCTAGGCACATGTGAGAAACTCTTTACTGATAAAAACTAGCACTCCATTTGCTTGGTACATCCAGATCACCATCTTTCCCTGGGCTGCAGTAGCTCCAAAAGAGATGGTCTTCGTTTGCATTAATCATTTTCATGTGCTTTGCACTCAGCTACACCGGTATTCAGAGAAAGATGCTGCCATGACAACTGCCACAACAGATGGTATTTGATCAGTCTCTAAGCTACCAAGGAGATATACAACAGTATTTCTGAGGTTTGCATATTTTACGTGTATCATTAGACCTGGTCTAGCCTTAATCATGATGGAAATGTGAAGTTTTCCATTTGTTTCTTCTCCCTGACCCTCTTTCCACTTGTGTGGTATTTGTTTTGATTCTCCTTGTTCTTTGGCTGCCCTGGATGGGGATGGACTTCTGGATATAGAAGACAAAGGCTGTAACATATTCAGCCCATGGAAGTTGCCTTGAGACTATTAAGAACCTATTCCACTTGGGGATGGAGGTTCCAGCTTAGACTAGGAGGAAGATCTACATAAGGGAGAGGCCACATTTGGTCCCAAACAAAGAATTTTGGGGAAGTATATCCTGGTCTTGATCTTTTCCCTGCCTCCCTTTTTTCAGTGCCCTTGTGCTCCTAGGGTCTCCAGGACACATAATGGTCTTTCTGCTGGGTTTCCCATCCCAGCTAATGCTACAAACTCCAGCAACTTGATCCCAGAACTCTTGGGTTCATTTCTATGGCAACAATTGCAGTAGCCTTCTCATCCAGTCCCTGCCTCTGTTCGGCTATCCTGGAATGTCAGACTTCATACAGATTTTTTTTTCTAGCTAATTTTGGAAAGTAGTTTATATTAGCTACTATCTGTTAATGAACAACTTTGGTTGTATTTACATACTTTTCTGGTTAAGAGTCTTTTCCCTTGCTCTGCCTCCCACTTTTAATCAGATCCTCATCTCATGCTGGGTGTCTGGATCACACATGAGCCACGAGCCTCCTTAGAGATGGCACAAGGACAATTTACACTGTAATGAGTGCTGGAGTGTTGCGGCGGGGGCCGTCCCTCTCTCAGGGTAGGGCGAGGACTTGCTGTTTCAACTGTACACCAAGATTGATTGTTTACCTGTATGGTATTTGGAGGAAAACCTTAAGGTGAATTGTAATCATAAGAGGGCCTAGATCAAAGAACCATCTCCCCCTCTGATCTCATTCCAAATGAAGCGGGAGGTTGGAATCCAGATCTGACCCTTTTCTGCTCCCCAGCCTCACTCTGTTCCTGGGGTGCAGATGAAAAGAGTGTGGGTCTCAGCTGCCTTGTCAGAAGTGATTTTTAACCTTAATGGGAACATTATTAAAGACTGGATTTGAGACTTGAGGAATGTTTTTTGAACTCCTTGTGTGAACAGAGTTCATATAGGGAACCAACTCAAGGCGCCTGATGGGCTTATGAATGATCTTTTAAGCTATGATCAAGTTTTTATTTTCAGTATTCACATTTTCTAGGAGTGCAATCTGTATTTCATCTCCTCCTTAGAAGACAGCGTACTGGTGTCCTTAGGTCTCCTGTTCACTTAGCAAAAAAAATACTAATGCTTCTCTTATTTATGTACTCTGAGTTTCTCTCAAATGGATAGGTATGGGGGTAGGTGTGGAATGGTTCTGTGCACCCTGAAGAAGAGGATTATGTAGCAGGGAGCTGGACCTTCTGGGTCCATCCCCGGCTCTGCCATTGACCTATGTGATTGCAGTCAAAAGTCTGACCTTCTTACCTCACTTTCTTCATCATTTAATACTTGGTAAAAACCAATATAAGAATAGAGCACAGTGCCTGGCACAGAGCAGACATCTACACAGTTATGTTGATTGAATGAATGATGACAAGAATCATCCAACTCAAGCATTCTCAGCCTCCACACTGTTGACATTTTGGATGGTTCTTCCTTGGGGGAAGGGGCAGTCCTGTACATTGTAGGGTGTTTAGCAGTAGTTGCTGAGTAGTACTACTCCCTCACCCCCTTGTGACAGCCTAAAATGTTGCCAATATAGCCAAGCTATTCCATTTCCTCTACTCCTTCTCCCTGTCCAGTGGAGAAATGTTGAACAAAACCATGAAATGCTATGAAAGAATGATAGAACTTTAAAACAATCAACAAGGAGGTTACCAAGTAACCTATTTATGTGTCCATCCTTTTATATAAATTGAAATGTATCAAGGCTCACCTTGCAAGAAGACACTCCCATAAATGAGTGTGTGCACATTGATTGCATCATAATTATGAGCAAATCTGTTTTATGCTCCTAGGAAGGAAGGCAAGTTTTCTTTTTTATTCAGCCTCACTCCAATACACCATTGCCAAAAAATTTAACCTCCTACATCAACCTATCGGTTTTAATTTTTGTATTAACAGAAATTCAGGGATAGTCAGCTTTTCCTTTTTCTCTTTTTCCATTGGGACCCAGTTGCTGAAGTCTTTCAGCCACATGCAAGATGTTACATTAAAGAAGTAGTATGAAATTGTAGGAAAAGATAGGGAGTGGAAGATGAATTTAATAATTTTATTTCATAATTTTATAAGTTAAATAATGGTGCCAAAAGCCAAGCATTGTGGTATATGTCTATAATCCCAGCTACTGAGGCAAGAAGATTGCTTGAGTCTAGGTCTAGGAGTTCAAAATAGGCCTGGGTAACAGTAAACACCCATCTCAAAAACAGAAGTAAAAAAATTATATTTTAATATATATAGTTTATATATGTATATATATTTATATATATATACACACATATAAAATGGTGCCTTTTGTCGGGGAGGGCAACAATCCCCCTTGACTGTTCTGACATAGTGTTACTTGTACAAGCAACAGAAACAAGACATCGTAGTTAATATTTTTGTCTTATAGTTAACATTTTCTCTTCAAGGCAAGGTTTTGTAATAGAATAAAATAGCATTTAGAGATAGAATTGTTACTACACTTAAAAATGGAAGCAGATTGCTTCAAAACATGGCCTACAGGGGCCTTCAGTCAGTCTCTTCCTTTTTTTCCTTTTCCTCCTTCCTTGAAGATGATAGTACCTGGTTATCACTCTCGGTCATCCTCAGGATAGACAGAAGAAAGGAGAAATTAAAAGCAATCTCACTTTCCTCCAATGTTATAAGGAGTAATTTTCTGCATTGGTGGCAGTCATAACTTACAGCATCAGCCTTTGCTCAATTTGCAAGAAATTACATTCTGCCCCTTTTTCTAGGAATGAGAAAGTGTCAGACAGATGAGGACATTTCAAGATGGGCTAGATGTTGAAAAGAAGATGGAGATCTGTGCCAAAAGAGCAAGGATAATGTAACTTTGAGATCAGGAGTGAGTAGATTTTTATATGATAGGTGTAGCTTCATACAGGCACCCCATAGCTTAGTTTGATGCATTGAGAAAATGTGAAAACTAGGCTAAAGGAGGAAAATGCTAGACATCAGTGAAAGAGTGGACATGAACTTCAGGAAAACTGCTTTGGAGCCAGACTCTACTCAAAACTCTTTAAAATGTAGAGGTTTATAGACTCTGTGACTATGAAAAACATCAAGAAATTACTTGATTGAACTGGAGGCATTGCTCAAATGGTAGAAGGCTTATCTAATAAGTCTAATAAGCATTCAGTACTGGAGTTCAAACTCCAGTACTGAAAAGAAAAGGAAAGAAGAGGGAAGGGAAAGGGAAGGGGATAGGGAAAGGTGGAAGGAAGTACTTAGCCAGGTACCAGTGGCTCATGCCTATAATCCTAGCTACTCATTCAAGGTGCAGAGATCAGGAGGATCATGGGTTAGAGCCAATACTCAACACAAAATAAGGCTGGGGAGTGGCTCAAATGTTAGAGTGGAGGCCCTGAGTTCAAGCCCCAGTGCCGCAAAAAAGAAAAAAAAATTACTTGTCAGTGGGAAAAGAAATAATATGTGTGCTGTGAAGAACAATCATATATTAAATCAAAACTTTGAGTGCCTAAGAATTTGATGCTACCTGGGAAATACTGTGGGGTAGGCTGGTTATGGAGGAGAGTGGAGTTTTTATTGTGAGATGCAAATTGTATGAAATTCAAATATTACTGTGTCAGGTCAAAACAATTTCTTTTACTTGGGGTCACTAGTGACTAATCAATCCAGAACATTTTTCTTTAAACCAAAAAGTAATTAGTCCTGACAACTGAAGTTCTATCAGACCTTTGGGAATGACCTAATTGGATTTTTTGTGAGGGTTGGACATTGGCTTGCCCTTGGCATCAGCCCTAGCAAACATGGGAGGCCTTCCAGATTTTGGCTGGTGGGTCCCTTCTTGCTCAGAGAGTACAAAGGACCGAGAAGTTCAGGCGGTCACAGTCCTCACTGGTCATCTGCAATGCCTGCCATCTCGAGAATTTTGAGTAAACACTGCCCAAATTCCTGTTGAAACTCCCAGTCACCATTTGGACACTAATTGCCTGCTTCTTTGGTTGTTGGAAATTTCTCCCAGCTGCTGGTAGAAACAATGACTTTCTCACCACCTCCATTTTTCTGGCAACTGCTCAGGTTTTCAGGATTGCACTAGTGACATTGACCAAGAGGAAAACTCTCGTTCCACAGTGGTTATTTTTGGCAGCTCTGAGCAATACAAGGCCTTAACTTTTGGCACTGTGTGATTGGGATATTAGGTAGCCTTTTCCTGTACAAGAACAAAGAAGAGTACTAACCTGCACCCATCCATCCGTTAGCTGGATCAAAACTCTGCTTGCCCTTGGATCCCTTTTTTTTTTGTGAGGGGGGCCAGTACTGGGGTTTGAACTCAGGACTTCTTGCTTGCTAGGCAGGTGCTCTACCTCTTGAGCGATACCCTTGGATTTTAATGAGAGATGACTCTGGAGAAGGCCAAATATTTGTTAAACATATATTGTTGTGTTTTTCTCTCCTAGATTGAAAACATAGATGCCTGCTTGAATTTCCTGGCCGCTAAGGGAATAAACATCCAGGGGCTGTCTGCAGAAGGTGAGTCAGAACTCTGTCATGAGGTTGCCTCTCCATCATTGGCAGTGCCCACCTGTTACCTATTGAAGACAGTACAACAGTTAAGGCAAGAGATGCTGGTGGGCTCTTCTGGCTTTGTTTTCCTTCAGGCAGCTTAACTCTTGCCTAGACCTGAAGCTGCCAACTTTATGACAACCCAAAGAATTACTCTAAGAATGCAGCCATGACTGTGGCAATACAAGCCTTATCTGTGAGATACTTGAGAGTGTGAAGAGAGCTGTTCCTGTTGGAGAAGGGCCTCCTTAAACAGTACTGATTTGATTCACTTGTTTGGTAGTTCAGCTAATTATTAAGTTAGGGAGAGAGAATATCCAACCATAGAACGTATTTCAAATGTATTGCTCCCAGGGAAAAATGCTTAATCCTTATCTCTTTCATTAGAGAAGCAGCACATTTCCTTGCTCTTTAAAGAACAAACAAACAAACACCCCAAAAAACCCCACGAGATTTATTAATGCAATACTGCATTTTTACATCCTGATTAGTTTTTAATTAACTTAAATTTGGTGGCTAATTAGCACATTAGTATTTGCTGGTGTATTGCTATTAAATTAGGTATTGGTCTGGAGCTGGCTGGTTGGAATTCTCAGGCTCCTCAGGCAACACCTCAGCCTGGAAACTTTTGCTCTCCCCTGTCTGTAAACACAAGCAGCTGCCAGCTCAGAAGCTGCCATAGGCCCGGCATCTTCCCAAACTCATTAGGCTGCACCTGCCTCTGGTTTTCCCAGAACAGGTAGAGCAGTTGGGGCTTCAGACGATACACCTTTCTGTGGCAAGGGTGCCTTTTTTTGAAAAGATACATGGGAGCATGGACTGTGGGAGTCAGGGTGGGGCAGAGGGAAGCAGTGAAGAAAGAAGCAGCCAAAAGGTACAGGTAAGTTTGCAAACGTAATGTTCTTGGCTTTTGCTCTGCCACGTGGTGGAAGCTTTGTTTTTCTGAAAGTTTCTGAACTTCTCCAGTATTGGGGGCATAAATAGCCAGTGTTAATGCCTTCTGGACATAACATGTCTTTGAGTGGGACTATTGGAATTCTTTTGGGAACTCTAATATGCTGGACCTGTTCCTGGGCAGGCATGGTCACACTGCTTCTAGAGGTCTCAGAAGCAGCTGTAGTGTGGTCAGCCCTAATCCCAGCTTTTATCAAGGGATTTTTGGAGAACTCCCCTGCCCTGGGGTGTGGGCCCTCACTGGTGTGAAATGCACATTGCTGGGGCATGGGGGTTGGTGAAGCTGTATTCCCATTCAGAGGAACAAACTGCTGCTTCCTGGTGGAGAGTTCCTGTGCCGACAGGTAGGTGGCAGGACATGCTCCCTTTGGTTTCTGGGAGTGATTAGATCCTAGGTGCAGTCCTGTGACCCTTCCCATCCCCAGCAGAGCACCAGCAGGGACTTTTACAGAGCTGTGCTCAGCAGTTAGGGCTTAAGGACATGCGGACCTGTCTCATCCCCCAGCCTAGAGTGACCCCTAGCCACTCACTGTTTACCCATGGTCCTACTTGTTCCCCTTTATCTTCCCCATCCGCTTTGTACTCTAAGGCATAGAAGTCTATGCTATAAGTATTTGTTGGATGCAAAATATCAACTGTGCTCTTAAGGGCTTATCTGTATTGGCTCTAGTTCTCACAGAGCTGAAGCTGGAGTTTTCAGCTCCCTCAGTTTGCAGAAGAAGAATCTGGCTTAAAGAGGTTCTGAGTGACATCCCTGAGGCATGTCTCTAGAGAGTAGCAGAACTGGGATTTGGAACTAGGTCTGTGTGATTTCAGAGTTTATGTTCATGGTGTTTTCTGGGACAGCAGATGAATAAAATCTAAGCATGCCATATATAGATGACAGGAGTCGGATTTAGAACTCTTGTTTTCCGGAACATTGTTTGAGAAGATGCGGTGTGGCTGTTGGATGTACATCATGCAAAGAAACACCCAGCCCTCTGCCCCTTGTTGATGCTGGGTGACCTATGGGTTCCTGAACATAGACAAAGCACAATGTTGCAACATTGTTGAGGTATCAACTCTGAAGTGGTTTTATGATTTGTCTGTTACTGCCCCCAGCTGTGCTATATTGAACCTCTATCTTTCCTATGGGGTCGAGACTGATTTATTGATATCGTGGCCAGGATCCATAACCTCAGTCACGTTATTAGAACAGCTTTATGTCCTTGTTTATGACTTAGTCTTGTTCATTTTTAAGCTTCCATCTCAAACTACTCAAAGGTCTTTTTTACCATGTCTCCAGTGCAAATGGCCTTTGAAAGTTACAGGAGATGGCAGAGTGGGGGGGTGGAGATGGTGACTTGACTTCCTTTCCTCTCCTTTCTCTGCTTCCTATGTGTGAGCCTTCAGCACGGGGCAGCAGAGATGGCAGAATTCGGCTGGTGAAGTGGCCATCCTTTTGTTGGGTAGCTGTAATTACCACTGTCGCAGATGGTGAGGTCTGCCCTGCTGACTGGGGACTCCGGTGATGCTTCTAGGCTACTGATGGTCTTTTGTGAGATTTAGCTGGCTCCCTCACCTCAGTCTCAGGATCCTCAGAGAGGTGGAACTACATGGGAAGAGGGAGACCCACAAGGCTGGCAGTGGCTATGCTGCTCTCATCTGCTGATTCAAAGGCTTGCTGATTGCTACTGCTCACCTCTGCCTATGTTTCTAGCACCTGCATAACTCCAGAAAAGCATTATAGTGTTTAAAAAAATAATGTAGTTTAATGCTTTTTATTTTCCTTTTGAAGATGATTGAGTGCCCCAAGGCTCTCCTCTGATGAAAATACACAGCAACTGGAAAGTCCCATAGATGTCTCCACCCTTTCCCAGTGACTAAAGCTGGCTTTGGAACCAAGGGTGTATGCACTTGTCCTGCAGCATTGTAACAGTGCAGGCCTGTCCTGACCTGCTTGCTGGAGAGCCACAGACAGCCTTTGTTCCAGGCATAGACGGCTGCTGCCTGGGGGCAAAGGTGGCAGTGACTGAGCAATGCACTGTGGAGGTGCTGTCCATCTGTGTACTTCCCTGACCCAGGCCTCCAGCACTCTGATCTTGAAGCATGGTCCCGTTTCTATTTCTTGGAGCCTTGCTTAGGCCTCCCCTGCCCTGGGGCAGTGTTCACAATTGCTCCCACCCCCACCCCAACCCTTCCTGACACTCTGTTACAACCATCTGTTATCCTGCCCATGGGAGAAGAATGGCCTTTATCTTGGGCCATCTTGAGAATACCTGGATTTTGTGCTACCTGGCCTGTACTGGGCCTGTGGAGTCCATTTTCCTGTCGTGGAGGAGCAGAGTAAGGCATATTCTGTTGAGAGTAGCAAACATTTTCTGGGCATGCTGTATATGCCAGGCTAGGTACTGGGGTCCACTAGTAGTCATGGCAGTCAGACAAAACTAACTTGAGTCCAGTAATAAGAGAACACTGCTTGTGGGAAGTGCAGAATTCAGTGGTGACCAAAGATAGGTAGAATAGTTCCCACTGAGGCGGTCAGACAGGGCTTCCCAGAGATAGATGGTGATGCTTCTCTAGGTTTTCCAGGGTGAATAGACATTCACCAGGCAGAGAAGGGAGGTAAAGAAAAGTCTAGAATATGACACAGGGGCAAGGGGCTAGCTCTTTATGAGCCTAGCTGATTGGATAAACAGAGGCAGGAAGATCCTTCCAGGTAACTCTGGGAAGAAGCATATGCTTTTGAGGTGAAATGGGTCACTGACTTGGATCAGTTGTGCCTGATGGCCAGGAACCTAGATATTGAACTTGAGTACCCGAGTGTGGCACTGAGTGGGACATTTTTGTCTGTCTGCACAGGGGATCCCAGGAGCTCTGCTTCACACTCTTATCCTACCTCCCGCTGAGGGTAGCACCACTGGCAGGCTTGTGTGGAAGACACATAGGGCCTCAGGAGTGGAGTGAAAGGTTGGGTGGTACATGTCAGTTATGCAGTCAGCCTGCCTGTAGGAACAATGCCACAGAAGCCATGGCCCCCAGTCAGCAAGATGAGCCTTATGCAACCATGACTGAAGGGAATCAGATAGGAGTTCTGTAATTCTGCGGTCTGCAGCAGCCCCCACCCCAACCCTGTTTGGCTCCAAATTCCTTCTACCCCATAGAGCAGGACTTTTTGTATTAGATTATTCCAGTGCATGTGCCTTTGTAAACCAGGCCAGAGGTTTTTTTTTTTTTTTTTTAACAAATGCTGAAACAAAATAATTCTATTTGCTTATCCTCACTGCCAGACATTACTTATAGCATCTATGCAGATCAGTACCAGCCAGTGGGAACAAAGAGATCAGTTAGAAACTAAAGAATTTACTGCCCAGGCAGTACTGTATTCTCATAGTACTGGATTATGGCCTGTGCAGTTTGCCCTGCAAACTTCTTCTTGTTGCCTGACAGTGGCAACAAGAAGAGAGTTCCCCAGTGTTTTGCTAGCTAGTCTGCTTTGGCCAGTCAATTCATTTAGGTCTATGTTTTTTTTTTTTCCTTCTCTACAAGTTAAGATAGTGGAGTTGGTTGATCAAATGCAAAAGGATGCTTCTTTCCCAAAGCCTTGGGAAATGTCTTCATGAAGGAAACATTCTTGTGGGCTTACGGACTTTGCTCTTAGGCTTTCTCTGTGGAGCTAGCCCACCAGGCTTCATGGAACACGACAAATACCATTTGGAAATGTGGGAAGAACAAAATTGTAGCTATTTTGAATCCTGTCTGTGATGGACCACCTATGGTATAGGCTATGTGGTTGTCCTAGCATTCACCATTCCCAAGTTTTTGTGAGGTGAAATCAAAATTAAACAGCACAAATGTCCATCAACTGGGGAATGGATAAACAAAATATGGTATGTCCATGTAATGAGTTACTACTCAGCAACATGAAGAAACTGATATGTGCACTAACATGATTACGCCTTTAAAGCATTATGTTAAGTAAAAGAAGCCAGATGTAAAAGACTACAGATTACATTATTCCATTACGTAAAATGTCCAGAAAAAGCAAATCTGTAGAAACAGAAAGCAGATTACTGTTTGCCTGGGAGTGAGTTAGGGAATTGATTGCAACTGGGCATGAGGAATATTTGTGGGATGATAGAAATATTCTAAAAGTAGAGTTTATTAAATTTTTAAAAAATCATTGACTTATACACTTAATTTTATAAATACAAAGCATATAATACTTCAGTGAAGTTATTTAAAAACCAGAAAAAGGTTACCAGTGACTTTTTCTCTAATGTAGGTTATTTGTGATTGATTTCCTTGTGGGCACCAGTGACTGTGGACCACAGGGACAAAGTAGGAAGTACAGACCCCCTTCTCGGGCTTCCTTTGGGTGGTAAGTCCCAAGCAGGAGCTGAGGGGGCTACAGGTAGAGGGACCATATTTTCTGAGCCAAAATGGGAAGTACAAAGTCAGGCAGTGCCCTAGGTACTTAACATTCTTCACTTAATTCTCATAATAACCTTATAGAAAGGTACAGTGGGATGTATGCCCATTGACTAAGGGAAGGAAACTGAGTCTCAGAGAGGTCAACTCTTGGGAAAATTCAAAACTTGTATAAACAATGTACTATAGAGATTTGGAGGTCTGTGGTCATGACTCAAGTGGTAGAGTGCCTGCCTAGCAAGTGTAAGGCCCTGAGTTCAAACCCCAGTACCACAAAAAAAAAAAATTATGGAGATTCAATCTCAGGTGCTTCTGCCTCCAAAAATTGGTGATCCTTATAATAAAAATGTTGTCTTCAAGGAGAAAGTGTATTTATCTGAGGAGCCCTGTGCTCTTTGACAATTCAAAATGCTTTAGGAAGCAGTTGTTATGAACTGTAAGTGATTTGATGACCACAGCAGGTAGAGAGTGGGACAAACTGGCTCCATCTGCCCTGGGGTTGGCTGGTTGGTTATGGACAGGTCTACTCTTTGTAGTAGATGTTCCCGGAGCCCCTGAAGAAGCTGAATTGTTAAGTTCCTCCCTCTTTGTTTTCCTTGTGTGGTTTTAAAAAAAATGTGTTATGGGATGTTTGACACACCAGAAGAATGAAGAATAAAGAATACTTATATGCCCACCAGCTAGCTTGATGAATAAAACATTATCTAGTCTGCTTTTAAATTCACCACACATGATTGGTATATGAGTATGTCAAGTCACACAGAGTGAGGAAGCCAGATTTTGAGCTGGAAAAACCTGGATTCAAGTCCTAGCTCCTGAATTTAAGTCCTAACTCCTGAATTTGAGTCCTAGCTCCTGAATTTATTACCTTGGAGAAGTCATAAAGCCTTTCTGACCTGTTTCCCCTTAAGTAACAGAGGAGTGGCAATACTCGAGGCTTGGTGGTCGGGATTAAAGGAGTTACTGCATGTGACAGACTTTGCCTGATACACACTAGTTAGTAACAGCACTTGTTATTATAAACTTTGTAACAACCTGGTAGCTGTAAAGGCACTAAAACAAATCTTCCATGGATTGAATGGATCCCATAATTAACACTACATTCTCCCTCCAGTGAGCTCATCTTGAGGAGAAATTGTTGCCCCGAGTTCCTTCATAGGTGCTGATCTACAGGTCAGCACTGGGTTGACTCATCTTGAGTCTGTCCCTTACTGTGTCACTGTCCACTGGGTGACCATAGGTATGTCACTTATCTTGTTGGCCTTAGTTTTTCCATAATTGAGATAGCTAACTGAATCATCCTATCCCAGCCCCATACCCTATGATGTGCAGGAACTGATGCAGGTTTTTTTAGGATATATTCGTTATGCGGGTATTTATAGTGACATTTCCAGTTCGCCTTATATTGTACATTAGTTACATTGCCCCCTTCGTCTCTCACCCTCAGACCCTCCCCACCCCCACTTAAAGTAATTGCAAGAGGTTTCTTTGTTCTATTTCACATAAGTAAATGAAGTCCTCCAACCATATACCCTCACCTTAATCTCCTTCATTCACCCTCCTCCCTTCCACTAGTACCCCCCCAACACACATACACTATACCTACTTTACAGTCCCGTCTTTCATTATTAATATTTAAATTGATATTCAAAGGGGTTTCTCAATGTATGCCACTGTGGGTATATTTTACTTTGGTCCGTTTACCCCCTTCCATTACTCTGCCTTACCCTTTTACTTCCCATCCCCCATTTTTCAACAGCTTTCAATACATAGCAGATGTTTGGCAACAGTGCCACAAGGGTGCGCTACCCCTCTGGTTTCCTTAGGATGGAGAAGGAAACAGCTGAAGGGTTAAAGCTGAACTCCTGAAAGAAGCTGGGGGAGTGCTGACGCTCTAGAGCTTTCTCTGTTGCCTTCATTTCACAGAGTAGTTCACAAACAGTGGCTGGACATCCTAATTTGTTATCCTGTAATAATTAAGACCTGCCCCCCCCACCTTCCACTCTAAAAAATATGGTTTGCATGGTAGATTAAAAGGTCACCACCATAATAGCCATCATTTGTAAGGCAGGAAGCTGGAGCATTATGGCAGTCTAATTTGGGATCCTGGGGCTGTGGTCTTCATACAATAACCAAGTGCAGTGAAGGACTTCACTGATCATGGTGCACTTTCACATATGTGCTCTTATTTGATCCACAAGGCAAACTTGTGTCTGGGGCAGGCGGTATTAGTGTGTTGCCATTTTCCTGAGGTCCAGAGAGAATAAGTGACTTACCCATGATTGCACAACTGGAGAGAGGTAGCATGCACACTGGAACCCATGGCTTAGGTTTTCCAAATGCTCTTCTCCCACTGTGAGGGCTGTTCCAAGATCAGAACCTGCTAGCTCCCAAAGTATGGAATGAAGCCTGGATTTCAGAAACAACGTATGTTGTCAGCTCCTTCAGAACCTGAAGAAGGGAAGTAATTCATCCCAGCCTAACCAACAGAGCATAACCAGGGTGAAGGCCCTGGCAGCTGTCCACCCACCTTTGCAGGGAATAGGGCTTGTTCTGAAAGAACTCTATTCACACCTTCTTTCCCTCAGTTGGCCCTTGAAGAAAGTCCTCATCCTTAGTGAGCAGGCTTTCCCAGCAGGGGAGGGGGCTCAGCCAGAGGGTTCACTCCCCACCCAGGCATGTCTGCTCTGTCCCATCCCTCTAGCAAGACCCAGAAGCTTCCTTGGCTTGCACATGCCATGATCCTCCATGCTAGTTCAGAAAAAGAAATTCAGTCTGGAATGGCAGCAAGGCAGAGAAGACTGAATATGTTTCTTTCTGTCCCACCTGCTGGGTGGTGCCCGTACCTTATTTACTCTTAGGGTCAGTTTTGACTCTGGCCATTGGCATCTGCTGTTAAAAGTACTGCATAAAAGATCACCCAAGGAGCAACCCCTTGCAATCCATAACCTCTGCCTATGAATAAATATTTTATTCTTAAAAAAAATTTTTTTTTTATTACTATTCTCCATCCTGAATTTGAATTATTCAGCAGACAAGAGAAACAGCTGGAGGATCACTGGGTAAAGCAGAGCAAGGATTTGGAGTGGGACAGCGGCCACTTGGCATGCTCAGTGTGGCTTGAGGCTTAGAACACGGACTTGGCAAAACTAACCAGACCAGCATGCATCTTGTCCAGGGCCGGCCGCTTTGCCTAGAAAACAAGCAGAGTCTTGCTGGGGATGCTTGCTATTTCAGTGGTGTCCTTAGTGAGAATTTCCTCTTGGCACTTGCCACACATCCAGTTGCAACTTGCCTGGTGTATCCACTCTAATCCCAGTGGGGGAGAATAAAGCTAATTTCTTTGTGGTTTAGGTCTGATTTTAATTGACTGTGATACGAATTAAGTGTTCAGGAAGTCTGTCATATCCTAAAGGAATTAAACTCATGTGAGGGCTGAAGCAGCCCAATGAATGGGAAGAAGAAAAGACTTGGCTGACAAGAATCTCTTTATTGTCTTGCAGAAATCAGGAATGGAAACCTCAAGGCCATTCTAGGCCTTTTCTTCAGTCTCTCCCGATACAAGCAACAGCAACAGCAGCAGCCCCAGAAGCAGCACCTCTCGTCCCCTCTGCCGCCTGCTGGGTCTCAGGTGGCCGGGACACCTTCTCAGTGCCAGGCTGGCACTCCTCAGCAACAGGTGCCAGCCACTCCCCAAGCTCTGTGCCAGCCCCACCAGCCAGCGCCACATCAGCAGGCAAAAGCACAAGCTGAAATGCAGTCCAGGTGGGGCTTCTTGCCAATTGATAACTCTGATTTTCAGGCGTCCTTCTCCACACCAACACTGTAGCCTCTACTGTGTGTAGTATCCATTCAAGCTTCTTCAATGCTGAGAGCTATTGGTAGTTAATAAGGAATGAGTGTGACCATGAAATGGATGCAGTGAGGCTTCCTTCCGTGCCTGGCAAAGATGAATACTTTTATAAGTGAAAATTGCCTGCAGCCAACCTAATTAGCAGCTCCTGCCGTCATTCTGGCCTGTAAAATACACACTCATATGTAATAAACAACCCCTAAAATAGACTTCAAGACCCTTTCATGTGTTGGTCTACAAACCAGGTGTTCAGAGTTAGGCATGAGACTCGTTTTGTTTACTGGAAGCAAAAGTTCTATTCTTATTGCTGCCTTTGCTTTGCCAGAAGAGAAGCAGAGATGCACCGAAAAAGGGTGGCATGGTTAGCAGTGGAAGTGCCAGCCATGTTGTCTGAGAGAGGCACTGTCCCCCATGGGAGCGGTGACTGTAAATGTGACAGTGGGAGCTCTTGAACTTAACTGGGGAAGGTCCCACTGAACAGGAGTGACCCTGCTGTGTAGGATTAGGCTTGGAATTTTGTGGGTATCCCAGAGGAACTAATGTTTGCCACTGGGACTCACCATAGAATGATGCATAAGCAGAATGTCACAGTAGTTTTCCTCTTCTGTGCTATAATGGAAACAGTTGCATTCCTAAGCTCTACAAAAGATCACCCTGCAAGTCCTTTGTTTTAATAGCAGAAAAAAAAAAAAGGCAGGGATTAGGAACTAGAGAGTTTTTAACTCATGGTGAAGTTCTGCAGAAAAGCTCATAATAACTGTTTTCTTTTAAGCCATCAATCTTTAGCTATGAAACCTAAATGTGACTGATCTAATTGATTGCTTGGTTTCATCTAATGTGTTCTGAGAAATAATCTCTTTTCCTTTTAGTGCCCCAAAGCACGAGCACAAGGCTTCTCATACACCTTGATGCCCTTTATGACCTGTTGTATTGAGCAAATTCAAAAGCTGCTCGAGAGCAGTGGCAGTCTTAGAGGTGCAGTTTTTTTCCCTTACTTGTGATGGTGTTAAAGCTGCCATTGATGGATGTAATGTAAATCAGACCTCCTAATTAATTATCTAATTATGTCTAATTCACATTATGGAAATCCATGTGATAGGAGGGATGCCTGGACTAGCAAGCATCCAGGCACCATACCCTTTCCCTGGAGACTTGGCTACCTAGGGGTCACTCCCTGCTGGCCCTGGATGATTTGAATGATCAGCACATTATTTCCCAAGTGCTCTGCTTTCTGCAGACTGTCTATTCCCTTGGATGCTTTCTTGAGATTATTGCAGGGAAAGGGTTGTATGGGGAGAGGTGGGAATGGAGAGATATCCTGAGTTAGGTTGTTAGAATTCTTATGGAAGTTCTGCCCAGATCCTTGAAACTGCCAATATGCATTCTTTTATTTAGTTAGTGGAAAGCCTTCTACATGCTAGGCACTTGGGGGTGCCTGCTCTCTGCATGCTTCTGTAGGAGGCTGAGAAATAACCAAAAAACAGAGAGGAAAAGTGTCAGACAGAAGTGAGTACTGTAATAAGATGATGGGAATCTGAGGTATTGGGTTGATAGGACATGACACCTAAGTAAAAGGAAAGAAACTAACCATGCTGTGCACCGGTGGCTCACACCTATAATCCTAGCTACTCAGTAAGCAGAGATCAGGAAGACTGTGTTTGAAGCCAGCCCAGGCAAATAGTTCACAAGACCCATTACAAAAAAGGGCTAGTGGAGTGGCTCAAGGTGTAGGCCCTGAGTTCAAGCTCCAGTGCTACAAAAAAAAAAAAAAAAGAAAGAAACCATGCAAAACTCAATTGTGGTGATCTGGAAGAGGGAGAAGCTGGTGCAGAGGCCCTGTCTTAGGAGAAAGCTTGGTATGTTGGAAAGAGAGGATTGAAAAGGCAGCCTGGAAGCTAATAGGGCTACTGCCTTGTCTCTGGAAGACAGTTATACACTGATGTGACACTGAGGCCACAGTGCTGAAAGAAGTGAATATAGTTTAGACTCCATTCCAGGAATGCCAGGAAGCCATGGGAGAATCTTAAGTAGAAGACTTGATTGGATTTAGGATTAATTTTTAAAAGTCACCTTTGCAGGCTGGAGGTATGGCTCAAGCGGTAGATCATCTGCTTTGTAAGTGCAAAGCTCTGAGTTCAAACCCCAGTCCAGCAATAAATAAGTAAATAAATAAATAAAATCACCTTTGCTTCTTTTAGAGAATAAGTTTCTGGAGGAGCAAGGCTGGAAGGAAGGACCCACGTGAGTAGCTTTTTGCAGTCTAGGAGATGTTAAGCAACTGGGACAGATAAGGAGATGGGCTATGCAAGGTAATTTGGAAGTTGAACCAAGAAGCCTGCAAACAGATTCATTCTCTGGAGTGAGGGAAAGAGAGGAATCCCAGATAAGTAGTTTGGGAAGTGGTGGTATCATTTATTGAGATGAGGAAGCCTGGGAGAGGAACAGATGTGCATTGTAAATCTGCAGAAGGGGACATAGAAAGTAGCATTCTACAAACTGGCCACTGCAATTCTTCTGATTTTATAAAGCATCTCAGTATACAGTGTTCCATAGAACATGTGTTCAGAAACGCTGGCTACTCTGAAGTACCCATTTCCATGGTAGGCATTCATTTTTCTTAAAAAAACAGAAACCAAAACCAGATGTTCCAGTCAGAAAGCCCATGCCCAGTTTAAAAAAAAAAAAACCAAAACCCTGCTGTTAATAGATGCTGTATGTAAAGAACAGCCATAATCACTCAAGGCAAGTGTTTACATCCATTTATTCCAACGACAGAGTGGTTCCTGCCATCATGACTTTCTGATCTTATAGAACGGTGGCAAGGGACTGGCATTTGGAGTGTGTATATGTCCTCACTCACATTTCATCCACAAAGTTCCTCACCAGTCTAGAGTCTAGGAGAGGAGCATTGTCATCAAGAGTGCATTTCTCTCCATCGGTGTCTATCTTATAGAGGATAAATATTTATTGATTTAGGAAAAATCCAGAAAGTTGCTTATTTTTTTCTGAATTCTGACTCTTCACTTCCCAAGAATAGTGAAACCAACATCTTATTTTATTCAGATCCTTTTATGAACATGTTACAAGAAAAATGTATGCAAGAAAAATAAATATTACTGGCTGGTATATAACTCAGTGGGAAAGTGTTTGCCTAGTGTGTGAGGCCCTGGGCCCAATCCCCAGAACTGCATTAAAAAAAACCATTTATCTTTCTTATGCTTTTTTTTTTCTTTCATAAGGCAGCATATACTTTAAATTATTCTTTTATTAAGCCCAACCAAGATTCTTCATATGTACAAATTTATGATCCCCAAAAGCCACCAGAACTTTTCAGTAGACTTTATTTATTTGTTTTGGTGACACTAGTGATGTAGGGCCTTGTGCTTGCTAAGCAACTACTCTGCCACTTGCCACACCCCCAGCTCTTTTTGGTTTTGTTTATTTTTCAGTTAGAGTCTCATGGTTTTCCTCAGGTCATTCTCAGACCATGATCCTCCTACTTCTGCCTCCTAAGTAGCTGGGATTACAGGAGTGAGCCACCATGCCTGGCCCCTCAACAAACTCTACGTGGTCATTTCTATAACATTAAAAGCAAAAATTCCCAAGACCAGAAAAAACTTGCAAATATCTATAATCTGGTTAGGTATCAACTTTATGAGATAGTTAAGGTATTCATTTTTAGCGTCCTAGTAGAACAAGCCTATGAAATAGAAACATTCCAATGCTTTAGAAAGGTATAAAGTAATACTTTGTATCTTAAACATCTCAATACTTTAAAAATCCTGTGCTAACTAGAGGCAAAAAAGAGATTGGGTGTTTAAGAGGGAAAAAAGAAATAAAAGTTCTCAGATAATCTTGATTGTGTAATTTCTTCACATTCTAAATACATGGAATAGTAAAGCTAAACCTAGAAAGAAATCTGCATCTAGTGGAAAAAGTTGGCAAAGGGAAAACCTAGGAACATCAAGCTTGCTTAAGACCAGTATTATTTATTTGTGTCTGATATATCTTCTCTCTTCTCACTCATCTGTTCCACTCTCTTCTTTCCTGTCATGCAGTGCACCATCCAAGGACTCATCTCAATGCAAAATCATCCGCTTCACTCTGGGTCAGAAAAAGATCTCTAGGTTAGACTTTTCTTGTGTCTGCAAAGCATGGTTCCAACCCAACCTATTGCTCCTTTGTTCCCTCTGCTCCAGCTGGTTCCTTTGATTCCTCTCTCTATTTCATGTTTGCAGTTTCTAAAAACCAAACATGCTTTGGCCAATGAGCCAGCAGTTGGGAGTTTTGAACATGGCTGTGGGAATGTTGAGTGCGTGTGTGAGTGTGAAGCAGCGTGTAAGTGACTTGGGTGTGTGCATGACGTTTTTCATTTGATTGATGTTTGCCTCTGACTGCTTTGTATCAAGAACCCATTAAGGGAGAGGTGAGTTTCTAGGTAGTTTTTAGTGATTTTATGAGTTTGCTCCTTGCTTCATCCTCCCCCTAATCCTACCTCACCTGCATCTCATTTATGTGTGTTGTGCTTATTGTTGTTAAAATTACTAATGTAGGATTGGTTTTTGCCTGAGTTTATAAAGATCTGAAGCATGAACGCAAAACAGCAAGGCAATTATGTTTTGTCTTTGTTTCTGGATGCTCCTGCCTACGGTGGAGAGATTATCTGTTTCCTGAAAATAAAATGTGGGCTTGTTCACTAAGTAGTTCTCTTGATTTAGACTTTGGCCTGTCTGCTACTTCCTGTCCTGAATCCTAGGATACTCTGGGGTATGGGAAAAGCCAGTTACATTGTGTCTACTCTTATTTTAAAGGTTTGAACACCTAATGTTATTGAATGCACCAGTTCAAATGTATTATCTTATTTAATCCTCGCATCAGTCTTCTTGAGATATGTCGTGTTATTATCCCCATTTTACAGAGGAGACACTAAAATATAGGAAGTTAGGTTATTTATCCGCAGTCAGACAGAAAGTAGAAGAGTCATAATTAGAACCCAGATGGTCTAATCCCAGAACCCTCAGTTTAACCATTTTACTACATCACCCCCTCCTTTCTCTGGCATTCTGGCATTTACATGGTTGCTGAAGCTGCTTTTTATTACATACTTATTTTTCCAGTGGTGGTACTGGGATTTTAACTTGGGACCTCACACCTGCTAGCCACGCCCCTGCTCTTGAAACTGCTTTTTAAAACTTTGCTTCAACCATTACCCTTGGCCTTTTCCTTCACCTTGTCCCTGTAGCATCCTAATAGAAATTGCTGCTAGAGTAGAATGCCTCCTCATTCTGATTAGTGCCTGGGTTTATCTCTCACTGAACTCTCATATAAAGGTGAATAGAAACCTACCCTTTATTCCTGTCTTCATTCATGTACAAGGTACCCTGCTCAGCTAGGCTCTAGGTGCCTTTTCTCATCAGAGTTTACTTTTCTCAAAAGCTTTCATGTGAGGAGACCCAGCCCAGGATCTGCCTGGCTGGAGAGGAAGAAACTGCATGGCAGTGTGCCTCTCTGCAGAATGTCAGCATGATACCCACACTTGGTTCAGGGGACAGGAGGAATCTAAATTTGTCACTGCTCTGGAAGCCATGTCAGAGAATGACTGCTATCCCTGATGAATAACAGGAGGCTCAAGTCAAAACAGACACCACTGCTCCAGCAAATGTCACCCCCACCACTGTTAATTTCAGTGTCATGCAAATGCACAGCCATATGAAAGGAAAGGGGAGGAGCAGGCCTGGAGGAAACCTGAAACCTAGGGCCTGTTCCCACAATGTGCTCAGTGCTAAAAGATAAAGAAAACAGGAGCTGGCTGGGAAACTGTCTAATTGGAAGAACATGTCCATCCCATGCATGATTTGCTATTGGTCCCAGATGATGGAAGGAGGTGGCATGCTTAGGAGGCAATAGGAAGAGAGAAAGAGCTGGAAGATAAGGGCTGTCTACTCCATCCTGAGATTGTGTTGAACACTAAAAGCCAACGTCTGGCTTCCTTTAGTCATAGCCCTCACCGAGTTTCTTTTGGGTACATTTTGACTCTCTGTTGAAGCCAATAAAGGGATATTCTTTGTTTCATTATTTGCCTAATACTCCTTCTTGCCCTCCTTCCTACTTCTCCCCCCCACTATCAGCCTTGAGCAAGATTCTGATAAGAATTTAGGCCGATGAAGTTCTACTAAGTATAGCAGTAATTGGTTGCCAAAAGACACAGCCCCACCTTTCTGGCTCAGTAGGCCACCTTCCCCTGAGCTCTGGAGACAGGCTCTTGGAGTGCTAATCCTGACTGAACACCTACCGGAGCCAAACACCTTGACAGGCACCAAGGCTGCTGGTCAGAGTGGGAACCTCACCCGTGAATGTGGATGGGGGAGACGACTCAGAGGGGGCTGGTACCTGGCTGACGGCCTCCGTGGAGTTTTGCCTTTGATCATGACATAACCTCTGCATTCCTGTTAAGCCCAGTTAGGCTAATTCTGCCTGCAAGAAGAAGCAGAGCATAGTGGAAAAGCTATGAGGCGGGCTCCTTACTGTTACCTGAGCAAATTATTTAAACTCTATAAGCCTGTATATTCTTATTGCTAAAACAGGGTAGTCCTGCTTCACTCACTGTGCTGTCCTGAGGAGTAAATAAAGCCATTCCAATTCTGTGATACCTGGCATATAATCAGTACATCTTAAATCATGGATACATGGGTTGGTCTGGGCCAGGTAAGGCACAGAGTAGATTCCTACGTGACCATCTTGTGGAGTGGAACCAATGGAATTAGTAGTCGGTACTCTCTGCCTAGCTGCTGAAAAGCAGATGCCATGGAAATGAGAGATTTAGCATTTAATCATCTTGTCTGGCCAAAAAAAAAAAAAATCTCTGATTATGGACCCTCCCCTTCCTCAGCCCAGCATGTGCACACAAGCTGCCATTCTTCCTGGGAGGGGCACCCTTCTGCTCTTAGCCTTTGAAGTGGTTTAGGGGGCAAGAACTGCTTTCTTCCCATTAGCATATATAGTTAGTGAAGCAGAGGAACAGCAGTGTGCTCAAATGTTACAAGCCAGGAGCGACAGTTTTACTCCCCTGCTTGCTTAGCTCTGCCCACATTGGAGAAACTGACTGTTGTTCTAACAGCAGCAGGATTTTTTTTTCTCCTTTTTCTTACACCATTTCCCTTAAACTTAATATTTTAGAAAAGCAACGTGTATGTTTCACAGAACCCATCTGTGCCCTCTGACATTTTGAAACTGTTTGGATATGGAATGATTGTGAGAGATTGAGTTCCTCTCTGAAAGGAGCTGTTAGGACCTTTTGGTACTGTAAATGGCACAGGACTGATTTGCCCAGCCCCTCTCTCCCTTTTCTCCTGCAGTGAGGCTGGAGCAGAGGTCAGCATTTATTCTGACACCTGCAGCTATTCCATGTGGGCTAGACCCAGCTCCTCCGCAAGTCAGGATTCTAATGCTGCCAGCAGCACATGCTTCCAGACTGGGATTTATATGATATAAAAGGATGTTACTATTAATGAACTTCAAAATGTTCAGCCAGAGGCTGGAAATCTGTGTCACTGGTAAACTAGAAGATACTCTAGTTTTAACTCCAGCTCTGCTCTGGGTATCCTTAATTGGTGCTTCATTCCTGGAGGGTAAGATAAAGAACGACCTGTAAGGTCTTCTCTTCCCTGACCTGTTTACTTCTGTAGGTTGATTCTCTCCAGCTCTGCCCCTCATACCCTTTGTGGTACTTTAACGGGCTTTCCTGTGCTTGGCATGCCCTTGTCCTCTACTAATATCCCCATTCATGCCAAATTTTGCTTTGGTGTCTCTTGTTGAGACCCTGCTACCAACCTTCAAGGTCCTCCCGTTCCTTCTCTGAATTACTTCTAAACATTGCATGTTTTATCAACCCACAGGTCACCTAGATGCCAGCTGGGGTCATCTAGCCCCTTCAGATCTGGATAAGACTGTGCTTACTAACCTTACCCCTTCTTTAGCTTGTTGAAAGTTTAGTAGCTTCCTATGATTGCTTGAGTCTCTTAGGTTCTCATGGTTGTCTCTGACTTTGAAATCTTATAGTTGAACTTCAGTTTGTAAATAGACTCACTATCGTTAGGGGTGGTGTTTTGGTTCCCGCAATGACTAGAGTTCTTAATTCCCACCCATCATAATTTATTCATGACCTTTTTTTATGAGGTGGATTTTGCCAAAAATTTCGTATGTTGGAGGAGGTTTACTCATTCACAACAGAACCCAAGTTTTACACTTTGGCATCAGCAACAATTCTTGAAACATCAAAGAAATTACTTGGTCTCTACCCAGTATTCTAATTTGGTCAAGTTAAGGGAGCTGTCCTGGCTCAGGTATAGTAACAGTGCTGGTGGGTGACACGAACTGGCTTTGGCTTTGTAGTGGCATTTAATGACTATGTGCTGACCATTCTCCAGTTGTCAGCTATTTTCAATGCCCTGTGAACTCTATCCATCCTAGAAGGCATGACACCACCTTCCAGACATTTGAAGGATGTGTCACTCCCATCAAAGAAGCACTTATGTCCCTGATTCTGGAGAGAATCTAACCATGACCACCCATGGAAACCCATGTCTTTGTTAATCCCATGCCAGGAATATTTACTACAGAGAGTAAGGCCCACAAATAACTCAGAAGTTCCCCAAATATAAATTCTTAGTAGTCACAGGTTAAGCAGTTTCTCTTCTGGACTGTTCTGTAGTTAGAGGAAGAGCCCTATTTGACAAAGCCCATGTTGCCTTTTTAAAAAAGTTGATCTTAAAGCTGGGCACAGTGAAACACATATGTAATTCTAGCTGTATGGGCGATGTAGGTAGTAGGATTATGGTTCCAGGCCACCCTGGGGAAAAACTGGAAACCCTATATGAAAAATAACTGAAGACCATAGACGACTAGGAGGTGGCTCAAGTGGCAGAGCAAGCATGAGGCCCTGATTTCAAATCCCAGTACTGCCAAAAAAGAAAGTGTTCATCTCAGATTTTGATCTTTGTCACCTCTCTTCTGATACTTTAAACTAGACTCATGTTTTTCCTTCCTCATCTACTTCTTTCTTGTACATAGCATGATTCCTTTATGGCACCGTCTAATTCCTCTGTGAGTCTCAATCTTTGAGAGAATGAGAAGAGAAATTTGTAATTGAGTACTTACAATAGGCCAGACACTAAGTCCCATTTCAAATTTATTACCAACTGGGCAAGTTTGTTATTATTCCAAAGTTGTAGGTGAGGATCATGAATCTGAGAAATGGTGTGAGACTTGTCCAAAGTCTTACAGGTAGAAAAGTCTGTCTTCTGTCCATAACACCACATTGCCTCACAGAGAACCAGGCTGCCTATCTGATTCAGGCTTGCCTCTGCAGAACCCCTGTGATTTCCTAAAAATCTGCTGTGGTCCAGTTTAGGATGAGCATATTGGGACTTCTCTGGCAACTTCTAAAGGAATTTGTCTTTTCATCTTTTTTGCTTATGGCTTCCTTGCTTGTTGGAAATTCTCCATTGAGGCAGACTGACATGATGTTTGTTGTCCTGCACCACTTAATAACACTGCTGTGATGTTATCTTGGACAAGTCTGTCATCTTTTTATAGGCCTATCTGTAGGCATAAAAGATTCTTGCAAACTGTGACCCAGCCCCAAAAGCCCCACACCTGCACCTGTAGAAGCTCCACCATTGAATGTTGACTACTCAAAAGCCCTGCCATGAAGGACTTGCAGGGTACTATTTGCATTGGAAACAGAACCAAAAGGTACTAGAATCCCGTTGCTGGATATCCTCAACCAATTGTGCTAACCACATCTGGGCCCCCAATACAGGCTGGTTTTTTTGCACTTGAGTCTGTGTCTAGTAGGGTGAATATTCTCTCTCAACAAAACAAAGCAAATAAACGAAAGGCAAGCCCTCCTTGTGCAGTAGGAAGTGATGCCTTGAAGACCTCACTTCCACTTGCTAAGGAAAGAACCCCCACCCCCTTCTCTTCTAACTCCAAGTCAGGGAGTTGGGCCAACTTCTGCTTAACAGGATAAATTTTTACAGTCCCTCACACCAGCTCATGTTCGCTGTTTACTCTGCAACCATCTTTCTTGCTCAGCCAACAAGAAAAAGTTTAAAGTGATTGCCTGCTTCTATCTAAAATGCTTCCAGACTGCAGGTTTCTTTGGTGTTCACAGTGTTGCCTGGAAAGAGAAGGCTGAAAGCTTTATGAGTTGAAAATTCAGACTTATCACAGGATCTAATGCTGGTCGGCTGAGGTTCCAGTTGCTTTTAAACACAGCTCAGTGAGTTTTAGCTGAAAGATATAACTAAGTATCTCATCATTTATTCATCTTTCAACTTTAATTATTGGAAACAGCCTGCTTAGTAAGTCTCTGGATCAAAATTCTGACTTGAGGAGTATTACCCCTCCCCCACTTAACTCTTTAGGGAATACTCCATAATATTTTTAGACATATTACAAAGAAGTCTGGTGACTTTATTTTCAAAACCACCCAAAATGAGGTGTTTGATTTAAAGGGAAAGTGTGTGTTTGTCTTTAGGCTGACCAAATCTTGCTGGTTTTACAGGAAGAATTATGATTTTATCCATCAACTGAGAAGCTGGGCTTCAGCCTCAAAGGAATGCCACAGAGATGGCATTCTCTGTCAGGTGTTGAGGGAAGATGTGTGTCTGGACAAGCATTTGCAACTAGGCTTTACATTTTCATTTTAGATTTGTTGGGTTTGGAGAAGATGGGTAGTGGTTCCTTCTCACCATTTGTAAGTTGTATTCTTTTCTTAATACCTAAATCCCTAGATTGTGGCAAACACTATTTTCAGTACCTTCTAGAAGATGTGCACAGGATAAGCAGTTTAGAGTTAGGCCTTTAAGTCCGCGTTTGATAAAATTAAAGATTACTTGACTTGATCATAATGGAAAGCAAAGTTATCCATCCCAGATGAAAAGGAAGATGGGTTTTGTATTTTTTAATCAGCAGAAGTATTCATATGTTTTTCCTTCAAAATTTCTCTCCTCACTCAAAGGAATGCTGTTCACATTTTGCTGTTAGACTTTGCTGGGGTTAGTACTAGCCTAGATGTTTGCAGTGTTTCCTTCACATCCTTTGACTAGCAACCTCCACAGACCCAGTGCTTGGGAATTTTTTTTTTTAAAAGTCTTCTGCATGATTGCAGTTCTTTCTAAGACACTGCTATTTTCCTGAGACCAAATGTATTACCCTGTTACTTTTGTATTTTAGACTTCCAGGTCCTACCACGAGGGTATCCGCTGCAGGCAGCGAGGCCAAAACGCGTGGAGGGTCAGCTGCTGCTAACAACCGACGGAGCCAAAGCTTTAACAACTATGACAAGTCCAAACCAGTCACCTCCCCGCCCCCACAACCAAGTAGCCATGAAAAAGGTGAGTCATCTTCTTGGGGAATCTTTACATCATTTTTCTTTATAGCAGGGTCTGTCTTGTTCCTTTGGGTGAATTTGTCCAAGGCCAGGGTTAACTTTGCAAATAGGATGATGAGGATGTACTCGACGGGGAAGAACTTTGTTTTTAGAGGCATTAATAAAGTGAGGAAAATATTGTTATGTTGTTAGTTGCCTGCCAAGAATAATTGTATTTATTTGGTGGGGAACTAGGATACACCTAACTATAGATAGAAGCAATGTAGCATTTGGAATTTGAAAATAAATTTTCATAAAATATGCACCACACTTTAGGAGCTTTTCTAGAAATGTAAGCTTCTTGAGGCATACCTTTTGTGAGCTGATGAGCTTTTTAAGCATTAGAAATAATATGAAGGGAGTTAAGAATAAGGGAGTTTTCCCCTTTTGAAAAACGAATGTGGGTTAGCTAAGTGAAGATCTTGGCTACATATAAGGACCAGGCAGCTCTTAGGGCTGTGATGATGCAACTCTTGCCATAAAAGGATATGATATTTTTACTGTCCATAGTACTGAGCTTTTAGGATGGTGAAAAAAAAAAGGTGGATAGCCTGTGGAAGTCCTGGATTGGAGTAGTAAAACAAGCCTTTGCTTGTAGAAACCTGTGTCTCTTGAGACATTGGAGAAACTGAGGAAAGTTAGAAGAGTCTTCAGTAAGAGACCTCTGTTTCCTTCCTGCCAAGCAGGTCTGAATTTCTTTGGGAGGGGGTTATGCCTGGGTCTGTTGGAAGTATTTTCTATCTGGTACTGTAGAAGCTTCTGAGGGCTTAGCCTGGATGATGTCCCTCCATTTCCTTATGCCCACTCTACACAGCCCCTCTGCTGTGCTTGGGATCAGAACCTCCCATCCACTGTTCCAACCCAGAATCACTTGGTTCACTGGAGCTGGATTCCCCTGAGAGTTGGCTAATCGTTGTATTTTTCCCCTCCAGAATATGGAGGAAATTTTTATGGGGCTGACAGATTTTTATGGCAGATTTCCAAACCAAGGCACTGGGAACTCTGCAACTAGTACTAAAGTCATAACCAGGGATGTCTGGACCCATCAAAACTCTTTGTGATCCAGCCCCTGGTTCTGCTTCAAGTAACAACCAAGGGCTCTTACTTTTTTCCTCTCCTCATTTTTCCTTCTTTCCTATCCCCTCCTTTCTTTTTCTTTTTCACCATACCCAAGTGTATTCTTTATAAAACTGTGCTTAGATTGCAAAAATAACATATGCTTATAAAATTGTACACGTATATGTTAAATGAAAGTGTTCTTTTATAATGCTTCTTAACAAGTACCAATATAAACCATCCTATATGTATCCTTTCAGAATGTTCACATACATACATATATGTATGTATAAAGGTTTGGGAGGTTTCATTTGAGTACCTGCTATATGCCTTATCCCCATTTTGCAAAGGATGAAACTAAAGTAAAGAAAGATTGAGTAATGCTGAGATTACGCCAGAGATAGGGAGAGATGGAGTTGTATTTGAACTCAGGTACTTTTGTTCCAGAACCAAGGTTAATGTTATATTTTCCTTGGAAAGCAAGGCTTGAAGCCTTGCCAGTCAAGGGCTGACCAAGAATGTGCAGGTAGAGACATGAGGTGGGAATGTTTGGTACAAACTGTCTTGATCTCTTGCCTGGTGAGCCAGTCCATCCTTGTCCCATGGTCATGTGGGGAGAAGCTGTTATAAAGATGTCTGAAGATTTAGGATTGCTGGTACATGCTTATAATCCCAGCTCTTGGGAGGCATAGACAGGAACAGCTTGAGTTCAAGGCCGTATAGCAAGACACTATCTCAAAAAAGATGCCAAAGTCTGACCCAGATTCACAGCCACTCAGTTGGACCAAGTGCTGCCCACCAGTGCCAGGATGACCACTAATTTGCTTGGGTGGGGTTACCATGTGTGTGCTGAGCCAACAGAGAGCCAGAAGGTCTCTTAAAAGACTGTGGCTATGAACTCTAACATACAATTACCCAGGAAAATACTTCCATGTCAGGAGAAGGAAAGAGAAGCCACACATCTTTACTGAGCACACCTTTTTTGCCAGGAACTTTGAATTTTGGTATCTTACCTGATCTTCACAAACATTCTGTGAGGTAAATACTATGAACCCAATGTTACAGATAGAGAAAATGAAGCTAATTGAGGTAAAGTAACTTGCCCTCATTGGTAACCAAGCACATTATTCATATGCAGATTTGACTCCTGGGTTTGAACTCTGGTTCTGGTCTGTCCCTTGGGAAGTCTATCCCGAGGATCAAGTGAGATAATATTCATGAGAATGTTTTGGGAGCTGTGAAGCTTGTGAACTCCTAAAGGGATTGCAGTGATAAAGATACCTGACAGTGTATGGAAGGACATACTCACTGTCCTCCCTTTCCTTGAGGAGGTGGGATAGGGCAGGCATGGGTAGTCTACTTTTTCCATAGTCTTAGGACTTTACTTTCAGAGACCTCTGTGTTTCTCCCTCCTTTTTCATGGTTCCTATTCACTCCCTTGAACCTGACCTCTTTTTTGCAGCTCACGAGGTAGCTAGCTTACATGCAAAATACAGTGTGTGGAGGGGGCCAGAATCACTTGGCCACCTGGCAGTGTATAAGAGACAACAGGTACTTGGACACACAGGATCTTGTCCTTTGCCTGGGGAAGTTCCATCCCAGAGCTGCACATGCTTGTGAACAGATAACTTGCAGTCCATTGTAGTTGGTGCTGCACCTGAGGTGAACCTCTTTCAGATGAGGCAAAGTCATGATATCATCTCACTGTCTGGCTTCTACCTCTTCAGTGAAGCTCTGTGTGAGTGAGTCAGGTCCCAACTGGGTTGTGTTCTGGCATTTCACTCTTAGGTGAGCCAGTTCCTAGATTTTTTTAAAAAATTGATAAAATACATACAACATAAAATTAATCCTCTTAGCTATATTTCAATGTGCAGTGTATAGTGTTAAGTATATCTACATTGTTGTGACAATGTGCACAACTTTTTTCATTTTACAAAACTGAAACTCTATACTCCTTAAACAATACACTCCCCACCCCCACACCAGCCTCTGGAGGCCACCATTCAACTGTCTGTTTACCTCACATAAGTGAAATCACATAGTATTTGTCTTTTTGTGACTGGCTTATGTCACTTAACACTATCCTTGAGGTTTTCCATGTTCTAACATTCAATTCATAGATTTTATTGTGTGACCCACTGACCAAAAGTCTACTCTTATGAATTGATCTAAGCACATCATTAAATTAAATAAGAAATTCATTCTTCTGCCAACAAAATGACAAAAATATTAAGAGGAAAGAAAACCATAACAGCTAATTTATAAAAACCTGTAGTGTGCACTTTATACTTTGTGGTGATGCCGTGAGGAATCCTCTTAAGATCTTGTCTCCCTGAGTTTATTTCTGGTTATACAGAATGATCAACTGAGACATGAAGTGAATGATAAAAGTGATAGATAATATTTTTATCTAGAGAAAGCCTAGAAACTCACACAAAATTCACTAGGTCATTCCATGAGTGGTACCCAAGTATGCACTTGTACACAGAAACCCCAGGTGTTTCTATATAGCAACACAGCCTATTAGTTTGCCCAAAGGCTGACCTTCCATCCTCTCACTTTCATCCTCCGATTTTCCTGTGAGGTTTGGAGGAAAGTCTAAGAGCCCCAATGGGGAAACCTGGTGGTATTTGCTAGTCATCATTACAAATGGTCGTGGTTAGAAATACCTTTGATTTCAACTGCTCACTCCCATAAGAAGCAGTGAGACATAGCCTAGCCTTGCCTGACTTGTGGGATGTGAGCGCAGGCTTGGCTCTGAAAAGCTGGTGTCTGGGGATGGCCAGAATGCAGGGAAGGCTCACTTCCTCTGCTTATTGCCAGGAACCTTGGGCTTTCAAGGGATAGGAAGTCGCTATCTTTCTAAACATTTGTGACATTATCTGTTTTCTTTTCCTTCCATCCTCTCACTTTCATCCTCTGAACCATCCTCTTGGTACTTCTATTACCGAGAGTCTAGTATATTTCTCCAGTGTTTGGCCCATCATAGGAATCTGAAACTTTTGATATTCCTAGACTGACTTCTAGACATGTGGACGATGAGCTTTTTTGAATAATATGGTTTTCTAGGAAGCATTTCCTTATTGTATTTTCATTACATAAATGATTGCATAAAAATATTCAAATAATATAAACATTAAAAAACAAAGAATCCTATACAATCCCACTTCCTAGAAATAGCCACTATTTGTCACTTAGTTTACATTTTCTATATTTTTTCATGCAAATACTATCACACTTTGATAGATAAAATTTTCCTAGTACCTTACCAGGTACTATTCTAAGATGCTTAATTCTTCAGGAACTGTACACACACATACACACTCCAACATATTCGGAAAACTTTTTAAAAATATTATAAATAAAATCACCAAATCATAGGCAGCCATTTTGTCTGTATGTATAAGTTACTCTCTTCATAACAGTTGCATATAATCTATTGTATGGATTTACCTTAATATATGTAACCACTTTCATCTATGTTGCCTCTAATTTTTTGATGCTATAAGCAGCAATCAGATTAATAGTCTTTTATTTTTTACACATATAGAATCATTTCAATGGAATTGCTGCATCAAAGCAAAGGCACATTTTACTTTGTTCTAATACTTCCAAATTTTGCTCACCATAAGGTTATATCTATTGATATTCCCTTCACCGATGGTGAAAGGACTGGTTTCCCTATAAACTGGACCCCACTTTCATCATTCTTTTGGGCAAAAAATACTTTTTTTAATTAAGCAAACTATTTTAAGAAGCTAAAAATAAGACCACTTGATACAAATGGCCTTGTTTACAGACAGCACTATGGCCACTAATGATCTTGGCATGGTTTTAAAAAAACCAAAAAAACCTTGGGTTTGAGATCAAGCCTTTTGCTATCAAGATATCTGAGCCTCAGTTTCCCCT